CTGTTTCTCCTTCTCCTTCTCTCTTCCCTTTCTGTTTTTTCTATTTCTTTCATTTTTTCTATTATCATTCCTCCTTCTTTGCCTCCTTCTCTTTCCGTGTCCTCTCTCTCTGCTTTCTCTTCCAATTTTTTTATTCTCTCTTCCATTTTCTCTCTTTGCTTCTCCCATATTTCTTCTCTCCTCTTATATTCTTTCTTCAGCTCCTTTATTTCGTTTTTTATTTCTTCCTTATCTTTTTTTCTTTCCTTCTCTTAATCTTCCATTCTCCTTAGTATTTCTCTCAGCATTTCCTCTGTTGCCATGTTCTTTTTTTCTTCCCTTTCTTTCTTGTTCGGTGGTGATCTGTCAATTTTTCTTAGTGTGTTGAATTTTTCTATTATTTCTTTCTCTGCTTTTGCTGTTTCTTCTTCTATTTCCTCTCTTTTCCTTTTTTGCAGAAATTCTTTGATTGTTCCTAGGCTATCCGTTCTCCTTCTCTGTTTTCCCAGCTCTTCTGCTCTCGTTGGCCTACCCTTCATTTTCCTTCTATTTTCGTCCTCTTTCCTGTCTTCTTTATCTCCTTGCTGCTTCTTTTCCGTTGCTTTTTCTCCTTCTTTCCCCATCCGTCGGTACGCTTATCCGCCTCTTTCCTGTCGGTTATCTGTTTCTTATTGCTGTCGGTAAGTTCCCTTCCTTTACTTTATTTTTCCTCCGGCAGTTGTCGCTTCCCTCCTCTTTATCTCCCTGGTGTTCTTACCTGTCACTCTAACCTATTTCGTCTCCTACCTGTCTCTATATTGCCTCCTAATCTGCAATTCAGTTCTTTGTGTCTGACCTACCTTATATCTCCTTGTTCTCCTGCCTCCGCTCTCTCTGACCCTCCGTCTCCTCTCTCCTTCCTTCCTCCAAATCCACTACTCTTCACAATTTTCTTCTTCCGTCGCTCTACACGTCTGTACACTTTCACTGTCGTATCGCGAGTCCCTATTGTTTGACTTATAATTGACTTATTAATATTGTTTATTGTGACACAGTTCGTTAAATATTATAATTTTATTACGTTGTCGGCTAGCTTTTGACAAGATTGTCAAAACGTACATTGTTCTCTTCTAAATTATTACAGAATAAATTACATATTTATCTACTAATATTATTTTACTATCCTGATTTGCCCGTCCGTTAACCTTCTCATATTGCTTTACAGTCTTAAATTTCTTTTATTTGGTAATTAATATAATAAATTCTTTAAAAAAATTTACTACTTCAAATTACGGAGATTAGATTTTTTAAATAATAAAATCATCTGTGTAATCAAATGTTAAAGAATACAATTTTCATAGGAGAATTACAGAAAAGATAACTCAAAATGTAATTTAATTGACAAATATTATCAAGAAAAAAAATGTATGTCTATCCTACGTAAAAGGACGCACAGAGTTTCGAATCTACAAAGAAAAGTTTTAAATCAATTTATAAGCGAAAAATTATAGGTTTTTTTAGGCATTGAGCATTATTAATCCTTTTTGACGAGAGTTCTGTGAAATTTTCTTTAAGAAGAGTCTTCTGACGTGCAAGAGAACATTTTTCACATTATACGGCACGTAAGAATATTGCATGCTAGCGCAGTGCGAATATAGCAATGTAGCTGCGCGATGCGGCGGAGCGCTCACGCACACTACCAGGCGCGCGGCTCACTGACGTGCTTCCGTCTAAAGGACAACGCCGATTGGATTAGCTTTACTCGATATCTACTGCTTCGTTGAGCATTGTAGAAAAAAATGGTTCAGGACTTTTCGACTCAATTTTTAGTCAGGAATAACGCTATACTATTAGTGGGCGCTATTTAATTAACACTCTGTATACGATTATTAATGTTTATCATAAGGTACACAACTGGATAATATGATACGGATATAACGACTGGATAATATACACTGGATAATCGGATCGCTAATACCCTGGCAATGCGCCGGAAACAAACAGGAAAGATGTCTGTACGGAATCCTTTTGGTCTGCAAGGGGAGAAAAATAACGGGATTAATTCTACGGGCTTAACTAGAATTAATTAGAAATTCTTTCCCACCCGAATATTCCCCCCTGAGTTCTACACCGGTCAGGAATCAGGAAAAGGAATCAGGTCAGGTCAGGAACACGCCCGAGCAGCGCCTCGTTATGCGTGAATTTCAGTAGTGATTGTACACCGCCCCCCCGTGTGGGCCACCTTGTCGTGGTGGGGGGGGGGGGGCTTAAGGCGGGCGTCCGGCTGGGAACCGTTGTGTGCCGCTTTTAGGCTCCGGCGGTTCCATGGGCTGGGCGTCCGCCGAGTAAGAGCCCACTTGGCCATACACTTATGGCCTGGCCGAACATCGGCCGAGCAGGATGGGGAAGCGATGTCCCATGGACATTCTGTCCGGAAGGGCGTGAACCCATACTTTTGAGCAGAAGGCCTCGTTGTGCCTTTGGGTTGGAAAAGGTGTTGAA